ACTACTAATTCTTCGTCTATTTTTCTATGATCGATTGCTAAGGCCTTCAAGTCGTTTCCCGTTGAAAGACTTATGCATTCCTTCCGTGACAGTTGCGGTTTCCTAAAGTATGACGTTCTACACTGCTGTAGGATTGGGCACCTTTCTAGCAAGCCCATTGAGAGTCCTCAAGATCATCTTATTAGCACAGGGCGCATTCGGTATTTGTATTGTGATACAATAGACTTAAGACTCCTTTAATGAAACTTCCAATGCATTTTGATTACCTAGGTAACACATAGACACAGAGTACAAAAATGTTTCGAATTTTCGATAAAAAAATTTTGGTCGCGTATTAAATTATAGTTTTTGTATTATTTTAGTAGCTAACCCTATTTATTGCAGGACATAATTCGGACTTTATTATAAATACTGAGCACTGCTGCCAACTTTTGCCCAGCAAAAAAAAAGCTGTTTTTGATGGGAAGAATTCAGAAACAAGAAAGGAAGCTAACTTCGGCACGCCGAAGTTTGTATACCCTTGCAGATTGGTTTTCATATTTATATTATAAATTATAATGCCGAAAACAGACACTAAACTGAGTTACATACCATTTTACCTATACTTATTATGTTTACAGTTTGACAGTTACAGTTATACCTTCCCAGCTTTACATTTTCTCTACATCTACGGATCGCTTCTATGGCTGCTATATGATATAGTTGTCCGACTTTCATAAAATGTATACCAAAATTCTATAATAATAAGTAAAGCTCATATCTCAGAGTAGATGAAAATACGTTGAAAAACAACGCAGTTATAATTTTTTCTATTATTTTCCCTATCGTTCCTATGGCAGCTATAAGATATAGTCGTCCGATTTTCATGAAATTTATACCAAAATGTTGAAATAATACCAGAAGCTCATGTGTCAAAGTAGATTAAAATACGTTGAAAAACAACGAAGTTATAATTTTTTTGATTTATTTCCCGATCGTTCCTATGGCAGCTATAAGATATAGTGGTCCGATTTTCATAAAATTTTTACCAAAATTCTGGAATAATATAAAAGCCAAGTTAAAATTTTTTTCTAAAAATTTATCGAACATTTGTATGGCTGCTATAGTCGTCCGATCCGGCCCGTTCCGACATATATAGAAGACTATATGCAAAGTTTCATTCAGATAGCTTTAAAACTGAGGGACTAGTTTGCGTAGAAACGGACAGACGGACAGACGGACGGACAGACGGACATGGCTAGATCGACTCGGCTGTTGATGCTGATCAAGAATATATATACTTTATAGGGTCGGAAACGTCTCCTTCACTGCGTTGCAAACTTCTGACTGAAATTATAATACCCTGCAAGGGTATAAATAGCTAAAAAAAAATATTCAAAAAAATCCGCTAAAAAGCTAAAGAAAAATGAATAAAAAAAAAACGAAAAAATGTCAAATAAATAACAATTTATTAAGGTAATTTTTGCTTAAAATATTTCCATAAACTTATTAATATCTTCTTGGTCGTCCTCATTTGCGTATGACATATTAGTACCTATCATGCGCAAATATTTTACAGGCACTTCATAGTCGACGCATTAGTTTCCAATCCTTCGCAATCCTTATCTGTATATTAAAATAGAAAATGAATACAGTATATCTTTTGCTTGTAAATAACACTTTACCTTTTGCTTAGAATTTTGTTAGACGTGCTGAGGCCTATCGAATTTCTAAATTTGGATTTAATTACATAGGTTAACCTGGCTAAAAACGCTTTCTATTTCCGCGATTGACCATGGCAAACATAATATTTGGATGGCCACAGTTGCCAACTCAAAAAATCTTCGGTTTCCAACAGAATCTTCAAATTGAATAACCTCAAACCAACATTTTTTTGTGTCGCTGATGTTTTCCCACTAGATTGAATTGACGTTATTATATTGGCGTTCAATTTCTGCATTTTTCTTACATTCCAGAACCTTTAGAGTTTCTGTGATGCTGACACTTTTGCATATTTTGTACTTAATAGGGTCTTCCCACACACCGTCAAAGCGTATTCACCGTCCGTTGAACTAACTGCCCATAAAGTTTTGCCGTTCCGATTTTTTTTTTTTTTTGTCGCGCGGGGTCCCGGTTTCACCTCCCGCCCAACCGACCAAGGGGCGCAGCCGTGTGACGTAAGGCACGAATCGCGAACTAGATATACGCGTTAGAATTAAAGAAGAAAAAGAACGAGGAAACATTAGAAGATAACAAAAAAAAATATATATGAGAAAAAAAAATATAATATAACATAAGCATATAAATATATAAAACACGCATGCAAAACTAGGAAAAAACAAAAAAAAATATAGTATAATATAAATATATAACTAAATAAAGAAATAAATAAAATAAAAACGCATGCAAAATTATACTACGGTTCTACACTACGAGTCAATTCTACTAGTATTAAAGTTTTTAATAAAGAAGGGGTATCACTACGAATAATAATATCAGAGAGGCGGTTGTAATCCGTACATAAAATCCTAAAAGCTTACAATGATTTACTACTAAAGGGATAAGGGTTCTAGATGTAAGTCGAGGAACGTGAAAATTGAGCTGCCCCAAGAGATAGGGCCTCTCAACCTCACCGGTTATTAGGTTGTTAAGAAATACGACACCAAGCATCGTTCTACGGTTAGCTAGCGAGGGTAAGTTAATTAATAGAAGTCTAGAATAGAATTGTAGTCTCACTTTCTTCTTCGTGGGATAAACTTGTACTGAATCCTTTCACGGAGGATTTCCCCCCCCTCCTGAACACATTTTTTTGACTTGTTTTTCACAATTTCACAGTGAACACAATATTGGCTTGTCACGTCAAATTAACTGAGCAGAGAACAATGTCATGCTACATATGTATTATATATATATACAAATGAATTTCCCGCTTTTTTGCTGAAAATTTTCCTTTCTTTGCTATAATACTCACGGAGCCCGAGACATTTCCCACGATTGAAAAACTGTGGAAATCGGTTCGTGCGTTCTGGAGTTATATGACCAGGGAGGAAAACTCGACTTATTTTAAACATAAACAAGAAAGGAAGCTAACTTCGGCACCCCAAAGTTTGTATACCCTTGCAGATTGGTTTTGAGGTTTATATTATAGATTTAAATGCTGAAAACACTCACAAAACAGAGTTTCATTACATGTTACCTATACTTATTATGTTTATAGTTTGACAGTTACAGTTTTACATTCCCAGTTTTACATTTTCTCTACATCTACCGATCGGTTTATATGGCAGCTATATGATATAGTTGTCCCATTTTTATGAAATTTATACCATAATTCTAGAATAATAAAAAAAGCTTATATCTCAGAGTAGATAAGCATACGTTGAAAAACAACGAAACTATAATTTTTTTCCTATTTATTTCTCGACCGTTGCTATGGCAGCTATATGATATAGTCGTCCGATTTTCATAAAATTTTTACCAAAATTCAGAAATAATATAAAGTGGCCATATCTAAAAAATGTTGAAAAACAGCAAAGTTATAATTTTTTTTCTAAAAATATATCTAACATTTGTATGGCAGCTATATGATATAGTCGTCCGATCCGGCCCGTTCCGACATATATAGCAGTGAGAGCATATAGAAGACTATATGCAAAGTTTCATTCAGATAGCTTTAAAACTGAGGGACTAGTTTGCGAAGAAACAGACAGACGGACAGACGGACATGACTAGATCGACTTGGCTGTTGATGCTGATCAAGAATATATATACTTTATAGGGTCGGAAACGTCTCCTTCACTGCGTTGCAAACTTCTGACTGAAATTATAATACCCTGCAAGGGTATAATAATCAACTATAAAATATAAAATATAAATAACGGTTAATCAACTAAAAACTAATCAAAATAACTACTTAATTAGTAATAAGAAATAACCAAATAAGGCTATTTCTTAGCTTTAAAACTTAAATTAAAATAAAACTAAATAAATAAACAAGGTTATTTCTAATTATTAATTCACTTTTATCAGTATAATTAATACTTTAAACAATTTATAGCGAATTATTATACCCTTGCAGGGTATTATAATTTCAGTCAGAAGTTTGCAACGCAGTGAAGGAGACGTTTCCGACCCTATAAAGTATATATATTCTTGATCAGCATCAACAGCCGAGTCGATCTAGCCATGTCCGTCTGTCCATCCGTCTGTCCGTCTGTCTGTCCGTCCGTCTGTCCGTCTGTCCGTTTCTACGCAAACTAGTCCCTCAGTTTTAAAGCTATCTCAATGAAACTTTGCATATAGTCTTCTATATACTCTCACTGCTATATATGTCGGAACGGGCCGGATCGGACGACTATATCATATAGCTGCCATACAAATGTTCGATATATTTTTAGAAAAAAAAATTATAACTTTGTTGTTTTTCAACATTTTGACACCATTTTTCAGATATGACCACTTTATATTATTTCTGAATTTTGGTAAAAATTTTATGAAAATCGGACGACTATATCATATAGCTGCCATAGGAACGATCGGGAAATTAATAGAAAAAAAATTAAATATTCGTTGTTTTTCAACGTATTTTAATCTACTCCGGGATATAAGCTTATTTTATTATTCTAGAATTTTGGTTTAAATTTTAAAAGAATCGGACAACTATATCATATAGCTGCCATATAAACCGATCGGTAGATGTATACAAAATGTAAAGCTGGGAATGCAAAACTGTAACTGTCAAACTGTAAACATAATAAGTATAGGTTAAATGTAATGAAATAATATCTGCAAGGGTATACAAACTTCGGCGTGCCGAAGTTAGCTTCCTTTCTTGTTTTTAATTATTATTAATTATAAAATTTTATTATTACAAATTAAAAATAAAATAGAAATTGCATAAGAAGCCTTTTTTGTGTGCAATAATGTATAAGGTTTACCTAACATACTACATTTTCATCACCTTAAATGGATTTTGAAAGCAACTTTTTACCTAGTGAACATCAACTTTCGTATAGATCCTGCGCGCGCACTTTAAATAAAACCTAAATTAATTTCGCGTACGCTATATTCATATAAACGAAACCTTTTTGTCAAAAAAAAACGTTATATTCTTATTAAAGCATCTGAAAGATCTATCAAAAAGCCAGGTATTAAAAAAAAGAGCAATTATAATAAGACTAGAGATTTTTGTATTATTATAAACGTGTTTGTTTTTATAAAACTACCATTTCTGAGTGGTCAATATTTTTATACATTATATAAATTTACAACCATATAAAAGCCAATATTTATCAATTTTTATACATTGAACTAGAAATTGTAAAATAATAAACTTTTCTGAAGTTATATGTTTAATCTTCTAATACCCTTGAAGGTATTATTTAAGTAAAGGTATACAAACAAGGTGATAGAATCCGTTTCTACTCAAAATAGTTTATGTGCTATCTGAATGAAACTTTGCTGGAATCGGAGCACTATTTCATATAGCACTTATTGAAAAAAAAAGAAACAAAAAGAAAATTGTCGATCTGGTCATGTCCGTCTTTCCGTTTCAAGGAAAAATATTTTTAATTTAGAAAAAACAAGAATGGAAGCTAACTTTGGCACGCTGAAGTTTTATATCAGTTTGCAATTGAGTCATTAAGAATTGATCTATTATGGTCAAGTTAATAGAAAACAAGAAGGCAAGCTAACTTCGGCACCCCGAAGTTTGTGTACCCTTGTAGTCTGAAATTTGATCATTAAGAATCGATACATTCTGGTAAAATTAATAGAAACAAGAAAGGAAGCTAACTTCGGCACGCCGAAGTTTGTGTACCCTTGTAGTCTGAAATTTGATCATTAAGAATCGATACATTCTGGTAAAATTAATAGAAACAAGAAAGGAAGCTAACTTCGGCACGCCGAAGTTTGTATACCCTTGCAGATTGGTTTTGATGTTCATAGTATAGATTTAAATGCTGAAAACACTCACAAAAAAGAGTTTCATTAAATTTTACCTATACTTATTATGTTTACAGTTTGACAGTAACAGTTTTACATTCCCAGGTTTACATATTTTATACATTTACCGATCGCTTCTATGGCAGCTATATGATATAGTTGCCCGATTTTTATGAAATTTATACCAAAATTCTAGAATAATAAAAAAAGCTTATATATCAGAGTAGATAAACATACGTTGAAAAACAACGAAGCTATAATTGTTTTCCTATTTATTTCTCGATCGTTCCTATGGCAGCTATATCATATAGTCGTCCGATTTTCATAAAATTTTTACCAAAATTCAAAAATAATATAAAACGGCCATATCTAAAAACGGCCAAAAAAAAAAAATATTGAAAAACAGCAAAGTTATAATGTTTTTTCTAAAAATTTATCGAACATTTGTATGGCAGCTATATGATATAGTCGTCCGATCCGGCCCGTTCCGACATATATAGCAGTGAGAGTATATAGAAGACTATATGCAAAGTTTCATTCAGATAGCTTTAAAACTGAGGGACTAGTTTGCGTAGAAACGGACAGACGGACAGACGGACAGACGGACATGGCTAGATCGACTCGGCTGTTGATGCTGATCAAGAATATATATACTTTATAGGGTCGGAAACGTCTCCTTCACTGCGTTGCAAACTTCTGACTGAAATTATAATACCCTGCAAGGGTATAAAAATAAAAGTACATATATTAATGTTGTATATTATACAGAGCATATAATATTTTCGTGTTGATAAAACTATATTTTAGATTTAAATATCTAATATAATATAATAAACTTATAAATTTAAATGCTGAAAAACACACAAAACAAAGTTTAATTACATTATATATTTACAGTTTGACAGTTAAGGTTTTACACTCGCAGCTTTACATTATCTCTACACCTACCGATCATTTTTATAGCAGCTATATGATATAGTCGTCCGATTTTCGTAAAATTAAAACCGAAACTCTGAAATAATAAAAAAAAAAACGCATATCTCAGAATAGATCTACTTTGAAAAACAGCCAAGTTTTAATTTTTTTTTTAATTTGTCGATCATTTATATGGCAGCTCTATGATACAGTCGTCCGACATATATAGCAGTGAGAGTATTCAGAAGTAATATGCAAAATTTTATTCAGATAGCTTTAAAACTGAGGGTCTAGTTTGCGTAGAAACGGACGGTCGACTCGGCTGTTGATGTTGATCAAGAATATATATACTCTATAGGGTCGGATATGACCCCTTCACTGCGTTGCAAACTTCTGACTGAAATTATAATACCCTGCAAGGGTATAAAGATAACTTTGCGGGTTTACAATATAATTCGCTCTAATTTAACATATTTTAAAATTTCGATTTTAATTTTATGAAAAAATTGCCATTGGAATGATCGATAAATTAATACATTTTTGGTTGCTTCCGAACTTCGGTTTTGAATATAGTAAATATTATCAGGCCTTTTCTAGCCAAATTTATTCGGGTTCGGATCTCCCTGACCAGTTCTAGTGTTTACTTCCGAAAAATTCTTCCGGATTCATATTTCCCTCTGTTAAGTATCTGTCAATTTGCGAATGTTAATTGTAAATTTCAAGTGTTAATTGTATTTTATTCCTTGAGGTTTTGAGAACATTATTGCATTATTGAATTAGCTAATACCAAAGAGAATAGAACTATGTTGAGCGGACATCTCATACAAAACAAGAAAGGAAGTTAACTTCGGCACGCCGAAGTTTGTATACTCTTGCAGATTGCAATTGGATCATTACGAATCGAGCCATTCTGGTTAAATAATTAAAAATAAATATTTATATATTTATATTATAAATTTAAATGCTGAAAAGTTACACAAAACAGAGTTTCATTATATTTTACCTATACTTATTATATGTACAGTTTGACAGTTACAGTTTCACATTCTCAGCTTTACATGTTTTCTAAATCTACCGCTCGCTTTTTTTGGCAGCTATATGATACTTGTCCGATTTTCATAAATTTTATTCCAAAACTCTGAAAAAATAACGAAAGCTCATATCTCAGAGTAGATGAAAATACGTTGAAAAACAACGAAATTATAATTTTTTTCCTATTAATTTCCCGATTGTTCCTATGGCATCAATAAGATTTTCATAAATTTTAAACAGCAATTCTGAAATAATATAAAATGGCCATATCTCAAAAATGATGCAAAAATGTTGAAAAACAGCCAAGTTTTAATATAATATTTTTTCTAAAAATTTCACGAACATTTGTATGGCAGCTATATGATATAGTCGTCCGATCCGGTCCGTTCTGACATATATAGCAGTGAGAGTATATGGAAGACTATATGCAAAGTTTCATTCAGATAGCTTTAAAGCAGAGGGTCTGGTTTGCGTAGAAACGGACAGACTGACATGGCTAGATCGACTCGGCTGTTGATGCTGATCAAAAATATGTATACTTTGTAGGGTCGGAAAGGTCTCCTTCACTGCGTTGCAAATTTTTGACTGAAATTATAATAGCCTGCAAGGGTATAAAAATGTGTCGTACCGGGTTCCAGCGCACAGTGCAATATGCTCCAGAATCCGTTTTTTTTTTTTGGCATAAAATCGAAAAATTGAGGTACATGATTCAAACTTCACAGATTTTATTGTTGTGGCATTAACAATTTGTGTACAACAAATTGGGCCAGTACAACCACGCCCACGCTTGCCGCCCGATTAAAAGTTAATTTATAATATATATAAGTTATATACTCACGGGTAGTTTATTTAAAAAAATATATTACTTCGGACACTTGGTCCGGTTTTATTGAACAAAATAATCGAACTAAATTATGTTTACAATTTATGGTGTATTTATACCCCTAACTTAGTCGCTGCCTCTGCCGACGTCGGAGCTTTGCACTTGTCTTTGCTGCACCGGGAAGTGGGGCAGACGCTGCGGTCAGCACTTACTGGGTGCTATCGACCTAAGCCGTGAAGTTGCCCCTGCACTTTTATTGGCTTGTGCAAGGCCGGATGCGCGTGTCAACTTCATTTGTGAATTCGTTAGCGAATTCGTTTGTAGTTAACTCCTCCACCTTTAAAATCGAGTGTCCACGCTCGATGCGGTCGTTGCTCTTGTTTTCAGAATCTGTTTTGTTGATTTGCAGAGTTCTGACCCGTTTAATCCAGAAGCGGCTCGCTATTGTTACGAGTCCGATGATTATTATGAAAATTATTAGGAAGTCTGCGGTATGGGATGTTGTTTTCAGTAATTGCAAAGTCTTGGTGTTGTTTAAATGTAGTTCTTTCACCAATTCTAGTGATAGCTGTTCCTCTATTTTGTTTATGGTCATCTCTGTTTGGAGAATTGCTGGCATCGGATGGTAATTTATCATGTCTCTGTTTGTGAATGTCTGTTCATCAATTTGTATTGAAGAATTGCTGAATTTTATAAGAAATGTTCCGTTGAGACTTGTGGGTGTCCCGTTAATTCTTACGTTGCCGGAGAATTTGTTGAGAAGAATGACTCCGGGTGCGATTTCATCAATGGCTCGAATGTGTTGGTTATTAATATGAGTGCAGGTGGCAGGGCGACTTTTTAACAAATTTGGTAGGCATGTGGAATTACTTATATCAATCATATTTCTATGTTTACAAATGGTTATGTCATTATAATTATTACATTTTGAAATTTTCGCAAAAAGTTTTTCTTTACATTTAACAATATTTTCATATTGAATTTTGTTAACATATTGTCCAATTTTTATTGGTTTGATTAAAAGTTCTTCACAAAGGTTGGTGTCGGTAATAGGAATTTTAATGATATAAATAAGTGTTGTCCCGTTGCTTGCTACGCTTATTTCTGCTATTTTCATGGCTTCTTCGAAATTAGTGTATGGCAACTGGTCTTGATCTAGTGTTCTTATAACTTCATTAACCTCGTCATCTCCTAATATCTGTGTGTTACTTATGTCTGCCTTTGCCCATTGTATCGCGTGGTTTAAATTGACAATTTCTTCTTTAAGCATTTTAATTTGAAACATTAGTGTTGTGCTTGTGTCCCTTTGAGTGTCTCCTCCGTATTTTAAGCTATTTACTAAATTTGTATTGGCCTGGGTCATATTATTTATTTTTTCTATGATGAGTCTATTTAAAATAACCTGATTGTTGTTGTTAGTTAATGCTGAATTTA